ACACCATATCTGAGTCTGACCATTATAGTTGAAAATTGCTCACACTCATGCATAAGAAATTATCCACCACGGAACTTACCAAAATTGCTCGAATAGTAACATACTTCTTTTTCATGTCTGGCAAATATCCTAATCCCTTCTCTATTGACCAATCAAACCAACCTATAGATCTTTCATCACGTGGTTACGGACCTCAAGGCAACATGTTCTCCCAGCACATTCCAAATTTTATGGCAGCAATCATATAAATGTCCATTCATGCACACGTTATTTTGCAATCACATAAATTAAGTTTTATGATAATTTAACACTAGACATGGAGTCGAAAGTTCGCTAAGTTCTTAATCATCGTCCATTATCATAATATTTCATTATAACAAAAATTAATCCCATAGTGTAAAAACTTAAGTTCTAAGTTAGAATTACTTAAACTCTCCCAACCTTAGAAGTCTTACTCAATTAAGCAATAAAGTATGTATAAAGTAAGTAAGATAATACACATAAAACATATATATAAACCACAAAATGTCAAATATGTACATGCGATCAAATTAAACTTCTATATGCAACTACTAGTCATAAGAAGATTATTACATAGATATGGTTCGATAATTTTATTGAATTCACTACTACTACTAGCTATAGAGAGATAGCCTGTCTTCTTAACGTTCTAGTTTTCTTTGTTTCATTTTATTATCCAAATCCTAATTAGATAGCTGAAAACCATGGAACGTGATTTATTCAGAATTTCAATTGCGATATCATGCTAATGATTATGAAGTGTTCTCATTAGATGATACATTTTCTCAATCTCACCTATATACTTTGTAATGACTCAGGCCTCGTGTTCAATCATTCTCTTACATGTTGTCTTCTTTGGAAGAATGTAGGCATATCTTACCCATCACGACTTTCTCTCGCATTCCCTAGGATTCGAACATATGACTTCCTCTTAAGAGATATTTAAGTTGAATTCTAGTGCCAATTGAACAAGATGTCCTATTGGCACCAGGATTCAACTTAAGTCATTCTTAAGGGAAGTGTCATGGGTTCAAATCCTAAGAATGCAATAAAAATCCATGAAGGGTAAAATGGGCTTAGGCTCTCCTAGAACAAATAATACATAAGTTAATAGCTTGGGCACAGAGATGAGGTCTTACATACTTTCTTAAATGCGTCACTTCTGACAAATTGCTTCGAGATATTTTATAAGTTTTAACCTGTTATGTTGTGAATCCATTTCATAGTTCCAATAAGCATGTAACTTTTAAACATGTTTCACAACTCATGCTTTTATAGCTTCTTCTCTAAGAATGCTAAAAGTGTACATATATCCAACCATATCTGAATAAGCACAGAAATTGGAAAAAGTTACAATGAATCAAATAACTTAATCCAAAATTTAACCACTCGTGAATGTAGAAAATTGTGGTATTTTAAATACTTTCTAAATGATTTCAATTTTCTAAAAATGAGAGCATCTCAAAAATTAACTCCTACTAGGAAAATACCACATAATAAATATTCTTGATTTTATAAAAAAAAAAAATCAAAATGTACAAGTTAAAAAAATATCTTTAATGCTTTTTTTAAATTTTAATTTAATCATTTAAATAAAAATATATATATTTTTAACTGTCCGAAAATTAATTTAATTTCAAAGAAAAATCAAAAACAATTCAGGAATCAATCTACAATTTTTAGAATTACCATTGGGTCCTGCAGGGGCATTCATGCGCAAGAGATTTTTAAAAAACATATTTAAAAAATTGGTAGCACCATCACACGCAGACACTACGCATGTGCTGCAGCATCGTCTTTCCAATACCCAAAACCTTTTACATTTTGTCCGTTTAACAAATTTTAACGTTATGAGTTCATATTTGTGGTCAAATTTTACGTCAATTTTTAAGTCCATGTTTGGAACATCAACATATCTTACCCAGAGTGCGGAGCTTTTTATTATTATTATATTGATTGTTTATCTTCTTCAATTTCATTTAAAATTTTCAAAAATTCTACCACATTTTGAGAAGGCCATAACTTCTTCATTTCAAGGCCCAAACTAATTATCTTTATACCATTGAAAAGGTATCAAGGAGATCTATCCAAAGTATCAAATGAGAAGCAGAAACCCAATGTACAAGAAATTATTACCTTATTAATTTTTTGATTTTTGTTTAACTAAGATTCAATTTTCTCTCAAAAATACAAAGCTAAATGATGTGAAATTTTGCAAACATGTTCTACATGCTAACATGAACATATGGTATAAATTTTACGAATTTATGTGGAGTAATTCATAACTTGCCATTAAAGGTGCTCAAGTTTTGAAGGAAAAATGGCATACGTGCATTTTCATCACTTTAAACCATTTTTAACATGTCATTAAGCAAGAAAATAACCTACTTAGACTCTAATACCAATGTAAACTTTCTTAGCATGCTTCTACTAGAGTTTGGAATCTTAAAACTTGAAATCCCAAGAAACGAGAGGTTGAATTACTTGTTGAAATCCTAAGAAGCGAGAGATTGAATTACTTGCCTTTAGTTGCTTGCTTACTGCTCTTTTTGGTTGAAAACTCGATCACAACAGAAAGAGTTTGATATTCACAATCCAATAACCAACTTTAAGAGATTAATCTTGCAAAATTAAGCCAGTCCAGTCATGCATTTTCACTCCTTTCTCTATACTCGAATTTTGCATTATTACACTTCATGGTTTTGGTGCAGTGTGAGTTATGTGGTGGTGCGGGGTTAAATTTCAAATTTAAACCTCAACTCCTCCTTTCAAGCTTATTCCATACAATTTAGATCGCGTCAACCCACATGGATAACCCATTTTATGTAAACAGCATAGATGGACCACAAGAATCTTGTGAAGATTTTGGCTCATTTCATGAATTCTGCTTTTATTAAAAGAGCTTTTTAGCATCTATTGATCTGGTCTAGGTACTCCATTTCAAAAATAATAAAATAATAAAAAAATAATAAAATTTCTTTTTTTTTCACTTATCAATTTGAATGTTCAAAGACCCGAGATTCATTCTATCAATGATGTTATCTTAACTATTTCTTACTCTCTCTCTCTCTTCCAAGTTTTAACTATCATCTTGACCCGACATTATGCTGCTATTTTTCCTTGTTTAAGTCCCAAATTGTGTTTAAACCTCAACTCCTCCTTTCAAGCTTATTCCATACAATTTAGATCGCGTCAACCCACATGGATAACCCATTTTATGTAAACAGCATAGATGGACCACAAGAATCTTGTGAAGATTTTGGCTCATTTCATGAATTCTGCTTTTATTAAAAGAGCTTTTTAGCATCTATTGATCTGGTCTAGGTACTCCATTTCAAAAATAATAAAATAATAAAAAAATAATAAAATTTCTTTTTTTTCACTTATCAATTTGAATGTTCAAAGACCCGAGATTCATTCTATCAATGATGTTATCTTAACTATTTCTTACTCTCTCTCTCTCTCTTCCAAGTTTTAACTATCATCTTGACCCGACATTATGCTGCTATTTTTCCTTGTTTAAGTCCCAAATTGTGGCTGAACTTTTCTCCGAAGATAGGAGCAAAATTTAACCTTTTAACCCATGGTCCTTGACCTTTTCAATGCCCTTGTCGAGTTTTAAAATATTGATTTCCTTTAATTTCAAATTTTACTCCATTTCTCTCTCATTCTCTTTCTCTCTATAAGTATAAATCAATATTGGATTAGGCTATTTTTGTTTGATAGCAACGGCTACACAGTTCATAATCATCACATATACTGATCAAGTTGTGGATTTACTTTCTTGTAAATCTTTTTAAAGATATTTCTTATTAAAAAATGTTTCAATGTATCTTCCATTTACAATATTCTCTGTATACTCAGTGCTTTATTTTTCGTATTTAAATCCATCTTCTTTGCTTTCAAAACGTAAGACTCAAAAATATTGTTGACCTCGCTTTTTGTGCAACTGATGTTGACAATAGATCCTCAATCAACTCATGTCTACAGAGATATTTTTCAGTACACTAGTATAAACCGTTAGTTACTCTTGGCCTTCTTCAATGGTGGTGAAAGTAGTCTTGAACACTTTGATTGTCAAGTCAATCGACAGTGATGAAATAAGGGATTTAGGACTTCTGAGGACATGGACCATGTAAATTGTATGTATGCCAGGAAAATATATGAAAGGAAGAAAATAGTTGCAATTGATTTTAAAAGTTTTATTATCCCTTTATGGCAAAATGTGTGGGTTTATTAAATGGGATGAGATATTGAACGTTAGATATGGATGCACGTGGACACATCTAATGGTAATGGTATCCCCTGTTTGACCATTATTTTGAAAAAAATGATGTTTTAAACAGTGATTTTTTGGAGAATAGGTAGCTAAATGTAGGGAAAATTTTTGAATATAGGTATAAAACATTTTACTATATGAATGTGTGGTTAAAAATAAATGAGAATTAAAGATGTTTTTTAAAGGGAGACAAACAGTGGCTTAATATGCTTGATTTGATACCCATATAGCTGAAATCTGTTCATATGAACAGAAATTTGTTTCCATAAGAAATGCTGTTACTCTTTTGTAGATTCTTGATGCAGTGGCAGATAATCCCTTTTTGCAGAATCATTAAAATTTTAGACAAGGATAATCTGAATGAAGTTCGAAATTTGGCGAGTTAGGTTCTAAAAAAAATTAGTTACACACTGCAAGAATTAGGTTCGATTTTCATATTTAACTATTGCTGCAGTTTGCTTGATTACATGGGTAGTTCCTCAGTGTTTGTGATCCTTATGTCATTTTCCTATAATCGTATGAAATATTTGATTTTGCCATAATTTATTGTAAGACTTCCTTTTCATGCGTTGTAGTTTTAATCAATGTGATCAGGAAAAAATTTAGTTCCTATAGATGATACTGATATTCATTGCAGTTCACAAATAAACTAACATGTTTTCAGGGAAATCTAAGTCAAAATTCATAAATCATACATCTCTAACGAGAAAAGACACTAATTTTATTAAAGATTTCTGCAAATGTCCTTCAGAAACAGGTTATTTGACATGAATGAAAATGAAAACTGCCAGTACAGCTGAACAAGTATTGAGAATAGGAAATCTAGACATAAGCATCAGGGTTCTTAAGAAGGTAGGCCTCGACAGCCTCGTACATAGCCAAGACCTTTGTCTTCCCAGCCTTGATGTCATCCTCTTTGAGCTCGAAACTTCCCTTCGTGTAATATTTGCTAGTCACCTTAGAGATAGTACCACCTTCCGGTGTTGGCTCAAACTTAACATCATAAGTGATCTTTTCTAGCTTATCTATCAAGGCTTCGCCTTCTATCAGTGTGTACTTGTATGTAAATTCCCTGTCATCAAGCTCATCAATATAGTATTTCACAGAATTGAAGTTACTACCTGCAAAAATTCCGTTCTGAAATTATACACTAGAAACTCAAAAAAAAAAAAAGTGTAGAAGAGCGTTTTAATTTACCTTCGGCAAAATTAATTTGCTTAATACTTCCAGTTCCACCATTGCCTTGGATGAATTTGATACTCTTTATAGCTTGTGGCATGAGTTTTGGAATCAAATTGTGGGAGTCTATAATTGATGCTTTAAAAATTCTTGCTGGAGGAATAGGAGAAGTATATTCGTCGCTGAAAGAGTAGATACCCATGGCTAAGTTTTGAAGATTTCTCTACCTTTGAGAACGAGGAGTATAATAGAATATTTGGGCTTTAGTATTTGTTGATATTTAAAGAATAAACTATAAGTTCTTTTCTTGATAATTTTATGGTATTAGGTTTATGCAGATTATAAAGATATCAGAAAGTACAGCATATCCTGTTTTTTGTTTCTCTGAATATTCTTGGTTTTGGAGTTTTCTCTGAAACCCAACAATCTGCAGGCAACAAAGCCTACTACATTAATTTGATAATTCCTATGTTCCTTAGTAGATCTATTGTGCATGTTTGGTATGCATTAATCTTTTCCTTGCCCCCAGCCTCTCACTTTGTTATGCTCTTGTTCCGTGCCCTTGCTTGAATGAAGACACCCGATTGGTCCAACTTTTGCAAATTCCCACCACCGGTCCTTCGTCACTTGATATCTAAATTTGTTGCGTCATGAATGGATATTCTTTTGGGGAAATGTAGAATAATACACCTAAGAAGGTGAGTCCATATAAGAGTAATAAGATTTTAGCTTCTTTTTCTTATGTAAATATTTTTCGTGCTATTAAATCTTTCCACTAAGGTGCCATTAATGACAAACTCTACTCGCATTCTCTCTCTTAATAATATTTATCCATTTGTAAAATATTTGGAAGGTCTATATGACAAATATATGGACAGGCAAAGGTATATATTAGTCTCTGTCAAGGGACAAAATTCAGAACAATTCTAACAAAAACATCCCCCTTTTCTGGTCTATAAATACTATTTTTCCCTGTGATTTCTCATTCAGCTAAAGCTTTCTATAAGACAAGTAATTCACCTTGCTGTTGTGCACTGAAATTTGTCAATCCTTTGAATATCATGGCTGTCACTACCTTCATTGATGAATACACCTCCCCAGTATCACCATTGAGGATATTTAAGGCCTCCATTGTCGATTCTCATAACTTGATCCCGAAGCTCATGCCACAAGCTATCAAAAGCGTCGAATTTTTACAAGGCAACGGCGGCGCTGGAAGCATTAAACAGATCAACTTTGCTGAAGGTATCACATCATTAACGTATTTCTCCCTGGTTGCATAGAGGCTACTAGTCTCGTGATAATTTATTTCTCACCCAATGTGGGCCAATCCTAAGTACCACAGTGTGAAGTTCAGTACAGTTCTTTGATACCATCATACCACTGTTTTGAGTCCCTATTTGACAACCATTTTTTCTAAACTCTTTTTCATATATACTTATTTTCAACCGCACATTCACACAATAAAATATTTTGCACATAAACTTAAAAAATTTCCTACTTTTTAACTACAAATTCGAGCATAACAGTATTTGAAACATAAACAATACTAAAAAAGGTACTTACAAGAGCTAACTTCTTTTGGTTCAGGGCATTCTTGAGCAAAGTAACTTAACACCTAAAACCTGTAGCATTTTAGCTTGCTTTTGTCTTTCTTCTTTTCAAACCACTTTCCTTTCTTGTTGCGTTTAGGTTTGTTCTTTTTAGGTCCCAATATAGTCTATTTTTCTTTGACTTCTCACCTTCAATCCAATTCATCTTACACTTAAAGCCTAAATCTTTTCCAGAACTAGACTTAGCCACAAAAGCATGTCTAAAAAATTTAGCTACACCAAGCGCTCATCCTCTAATTCCACATGTCGGATAGCATCAGCAAATGTTTTGATGCTATTATTAATCAAATTTCCCAATTATTAGGAAGGGAGTAAATCAAAGCCTAAACTTCTTGTTCATTAGAGAGTAAGTGACCATCCGATTTCAACTCCCTGATCATGTTGAAATGGTCCTAACATGCTATGTGATATTGTGATTAGGAGATTTCTTGCAAGTGTCAAACTTAATAATCAGCTATCTGAGTCTAATCATACTAGTGACACCATATCTAAGTCTGACCACTATAGTTGAAAATTGCTCACACTCATGCATAAGAAATTATCCACCACGGAACTTACCAAAATTGCTCGAATAGTAACATACTTCTTTTTCATGTCTGGCAAATATCCTAATCCCTTCTCTATTGACCAATCAAACCAACCTATAGATCTTTCATCACGTGGTTACGGACCTCAAGGCAACATGTTCTCCCAGCACATTCCAAATTTTATGGCAGCAATCATATAAATGTCCATTCATGCACACGTTATTTTGCAATCACATAAATTAAGTTTTATGATAATTTAACACTAGACATGGAGTCGAAAGTTCGCTAAGTTCTTAATCATCGTCCATTATCATAATATTTCATTATAACAAAAATTAATCCCATAGTGTAAAAACTTAAGTTCTAAGTTAGAATTACTTAAACTCTCCCAACCTTAGAAGTCTTACTCAATTAAGCAATAAAGTATGTATAAAGTAAGTAAGATAATACACATAAAACATATATATAAACCACAAAATGTCAAATATGTACATGCGATCAAATTAAACTTCTATATGCAACTACTAGTCATAAGAAGATTATTACATAGATATGGTTCGATAATTTTATTGAATTCACTACTACTACTAGCTATAGAGAGATAGCCTGTCTTCTTAACGTTCTAGTTTTCTTTGTTTCATTTTATTATCCAAATCCTAATTAGATAGCTGAAAACCATGGAACGTGATTTATTCAGAATTTCAATTGCGATATCATGCTAATGATTATGAAGTGTTCTCATTAGATGATACATTTTCTCAATCTCACCTATATACTTTGTAATGACTCAGGCCTCGTGTTCAATCATTCTCTTACATGTTGTCTTCTTTGGAAGAATGTAGGCATATCTTACCCATCACGACTTTCTCTCGCATTCCCTAGGATTCGAACATATGACTTCCTCTTAAGAGATATTTAAGTTGAATTCTAGTGCCAATTGAACAAGATGTCCTATTGGCACCAGGATTCAACTTAAGTCATTCTTAAGGGAAGTGTCATGGGTTCAAATCCTAAGAATGCAATAAAAATCCATGAAGGGTAAAATGGGCTTAGGCTCTCCTAGAACAAATAATACATAAGTTAATAGCTTGGGCACAGAGATGAGGTCTTACATACTTTCTTAAATGCGTCACTTCTGACAAATTGCTTCGAGATATTTTATAAGTTTTAACCTGTTATGTTGTGAATCCATTTCATAGTTCCAATAAGCATGTAACTTTTAAACATGTTTCACAACTCATGCTTTTATAGCTTCTTCTCTAAGAATGCTAAAAGTGTACATATATCCAACCATATCTGAATAAGCACAGAAATTGGAAAAAGTTACAATGAATCAAATAACTTAATCCAAAATTTAACCACTCGTGAATGTAGAAAATTGTGGTATTTTAAATACTTTCTAAATGATTTCAATTTTCTAAAAATGAGAGCATCTCAAAAATTAACTCCTACTAGGAAAATACCACATAATAAATATTCTTGATTTTATAAAAAAAAAAATCAAAATGTACAAGTTAAAAAAATATCTTTAATGCTTTTTTTAAATTTTAATTTAATCATTTAAATAAAAATATATATATTTTTAACTGTCCGAAAATTAATTTAATTTCAAAGAAAAATCAAAAACAATTCAGGAATCAATCTACAATTTTTAGAATTACCATTGGGTCCTGCAGGGGCATTCATGCGCAAGAGATTTTTAAAAAACATATTTAAAAAATTGGTAGCACCATCACACGCAGACACTACGCATGTGCTGCAGCATCGTCTTTCCAATACCCAAAACCTTTTACATTTTGTCCGTTTAACAAATTTTAACGTTATGAGTTCATATTTGTGGTCAAATTTTACGTCAATTTTTAAGTCCATGTTTGGAACATCAACATATCTTACCCAGAGTGCGGAGCTTTTTATTATTATTATATTGATTGTTTATCTTCTTCAATTTCATTTAAAATTTTCAAAAATTCTACCACATTTTGAGAAGGCCATAACTTCTTCATTTCAAGGCCCAAACTAATTATCTTTATACCATTGAAAAGGTATCAAGGAGATCTATCCAAAGTATCAAATGAGAAGCAGAAACCCAATGTACAAGAAATTATTACCTTATTAATTTTTTGATTTTTGTTTAACTAAGATTCAATTTTCTCTCAAAAATACAAAGCTAAATGATGTGAAATTTTGCAAACATGTTCTACATGCTAACATGAACATATGGTATAAATTTTACGAATTTATGTGGAGTAATTCATAACTTGCCATTAAAGGTGCTCAAGTTTTGAAGGAAAAATGGCATACGTGCATTTTCATCACTTTAAACCATTTTTAACATGTCATTAAGCAAGAAAATAACCTACTTAGACTCTAATACCAATGTAAACTTTCTTAGCATGCTTCTACTAGAGTTTGGAATCTTAAAACTTGAAATCCCAAGAAACGAGAGGTTGAATTACTTGTTGAAATCCTAAGAAGCGAGAGATTGAATTACTTGCCTTTAGTTGCTTGCTTACTGCTCTTTTTGGTTGAAAACTCGATCACAACAGAAAGAGTTTGATATTCACAATCCAATAACCAACTTTAAGAGATTAATCTTGCAAAATTAAGCCAGTCCAGTCATGCATTTTCACTCCTTTCTCTATACTCGAATTTTGCATTATTACACTTCATGGTTTTGGTGCAGTGTGAGTTATGTGGTGGTGCGGGGTTAAATTTCAAATTTAAACCTCAACTCCTCCTTTCAAGCTTATTCCATACAATTTAGATCGCGTCAACCCACATGGATAACCCATTTTATGTAAACAGCATAGATGGACCACAAGAATCTTGTGAAGATTTTGGCTCATTTCATGAATTCTGCTTTTATTAAAAGAGCTTTTTAGCATCTATTGATCTGGTCTAGGTACTCCATTTCAAAAATAATAAAATAATAAAAAAATAATAAAATTTCTTTTTTTTTCACTTATCAATTTGAATGTTCAAAGACCCGAGATTCATTCTATCAATGATGTTATCTTAACTATTTCTTACTCTCTCTCTCTCTCTTCCAAGTTTTAACTATCATCTTGACCCGACATTATGCTGCTATTTTTCCTTGTTTAAGTCCCAAATTGTGGCTGAACTTTTCTCCGAAGATAGGAGCAAAATTTAACCTTTTAACCCATGGTCCTTGACCTTTTCAATGCCCTTGTCGAGTTTTAAAATATTGATTTCCTTTAATTTCAAATTTTACTCCATTTCTCTCTCATTCTCTTTCTCTCTATAAGTATAAATCAATATTGGATTAGGCTATTTTTGTTTGATAGCAACGGCTACACAGTTCATAATCATCACATATACTGATCAAGTTGTGGATTTACTTTCTTGTAAATCTTTTTAAAGATATTTCTTATTAAAAAATGTTTCAATGTATCTTCCATTTACAATATTCTCTGTATACTCAGTGCTTTATTTTTCGTATTTAAATCCATCTTCTTTGCTTTCAAAACGTAAGACTCAAAAATATTGTTGACCTCGCTTTTTGTGCAACTGATGTTGACAATAGATCCTCAATCAACTCATGTCTACAGAGATATTTTTCAGTACACTAGTATAAACCGTTAGTTACTAAGGCCTTCTTCAATGGTGGTGAAAGTAGTCTTGAACACTTTGATTGTCAAGTCAATCGACAGTGATGAAATAAGGGATTTAGGACTTCTGAGGACATGGACCATGTAAATTGTATGTATGCCAGGAAAATATATGAAAGGAAGAAAATAGTTGCAATTGATTTTAAAAGTTTTATTATCCCTTTATGGCAAAATGTGTGGGTTTATTAAATGGGATGAGATATTGAACGTTAGATATGGATGCACGTGGACACATCTAATGGTAATGGTATCCCCTGTTTGACCATTATTTTGAAAAAAATGATGTTTTAAACAGTGATTTTTTGGAGAATAGGTAGCTAAATGTAGGGAAAATTTTTGAATATAGGTATAAAACATTTTACTATATGAATGTGTGGTTAAAAATAAATGAGAATTAAAGATGTTTTTTAAAGGGAGACAAACAGTGGCTTAATATGCTTGATTTGATACCCATATAGCTGAAATCTGTTCATATGAACAGAAATTTGTTTCCATAAGAAATGCTGTTACTCTTTTGTAGATTCTTGATGCAGTGGCAGATAATCCCTTTTTGCAGAATCATTAAAATTTTAGACAAGGATAATCTGAATGAAGTTCGAAATTTGGCGAGTTAGGTTCTAAAAAAAATTAGTTACACACTGCAAGAATTAGGTTCGATTTTCATATTTAACTATTGCTGCAGTTTGCTTGATTACATGGGTAGTTCCTCAGTGTTTGTGATCCTTATGTCATTTTCCTATAATCGTATGAAATATTTGATTTTGCCATAATTTATTGTAAGACTTCCTTTTCATGCGTTGTAGTTTTAATCAATGTGATCAGGAAAAAATTTAGTTCCTATAGATGATACTGATATTCATTGCAGTTCACAAATAAACTAATATATTTAACTATTGCTGCAGTTTGCTTGATTACATGGGTAGTTCCTCAGTGTTTGTGATCCTTATGTCATTTTCCTATAATCGTATGAAATATTTGATTTTGCCATAATTTATTGTAAGACTTCCTTTTCATGCGTTGTAGTTTTAATCAATGTGATCAGGAAAAAATTTAGTTCCTATAGATGATACTGATATTCATTGCAGTTCACAAATAAACTAACATGTTTTCAGGGAAATCTAAGTCAAAACTCATAAATCATACATCTCTAACGAGAAAAGACACTAATTTTATTAAAGATTTCTGCAAATGTCCTTCAGAAACAGGTTATTTGACATGAATGAAAATGAAAACTGCCAGTACAGCTGAACAAGTATTGAGAATAGGAAATCTAGACATAAGCATCAGGGTTCTTAAGAAGGTAGGCCTCGACAGCCTCGTACATAGCCAAGACCTTTGTCTTCCCAGCCTTGATGTCATCCTCTTTGAGCTCGAAACTTCCCTTCGTGTAATATTTGCTAGTCACCTTAGAGATAGTACCACCTTCCGGTGTTGGCTCAAACTTAACATCATAAGTGATCTTTTCTAGCTTATCTATCAAGGCTTCGCCTTCTATCAGTGTGTACTTGTATGTAAATTCCCTGTCATCAAGCTCATCAATATAGTATTTCACAGAATTGAAGTTACTACCTGCAAAAATTCCGTTCTGAAATTATACACTAGAAACTCAAAAAAAAAAAAAGTGTAGAAGAGCGTTTTAATTTACCTTCGGCAAAATTAATTTGCTTAATACTTCCAGTTCCACCATTGCCTTGGATGAATTTGATACTCTTTATAGCTTGTGGCATGAGTTTTGGAATCAAATTGTGGGAGTCTATAATTGATGCTTTAAAAATTCTTGCTGGAGGAATAGGAGAAGTATATTCGTCGCTGAAAGAGTAGATACCCATGGCTAAGTTTTGAAGATTTCTCTACCTTTGAGAACGAGGAGTATAATAGAATATTTGGGCTTTAGTATTTGTTGATATTTAAAGAATAAACTATAAGTTCTTTTCTTGATAATTTTATGGTATTAGGTTTATGCAGATTATAAAGATATCAGAAAGTACAGCATATCCTGTTTTTTGTTTCTCTGAATATTCTTGGTTTTGGAGTTTTCTCTGAAACCCAACAATCTGCAGGCAACAAAGCCTACTACATTAATTTGATAATTCCTATGTTCCTTAGTAGATCTATTGTGCATGTTTGGTATGCATTAATCTTTTCCTTGCCCCCAGCCTCTCACTTTGTTATGCTCTTGTTCCGTGCCCTTGCTTGAATGAAGACACCCGATTGGTCCAACTTTTGCAAATTCCCACCACCGGTCCTTCGTCACTTGATATCTAAATTTGTTGCGTCATGAATGGATATTCTTTTGGGGAAATGTAGAATAATACACCTAAGAAGGTGAGTCCATATAAGAGTAATAAGATTTTAGCTTCTTTTTCTTATGTAAATATTTTTCGTGCTATTAAATCTTTCCACTAAGGTGCCATTAATGACAAACTCTACTCGCATTCTCTCTCTTAATAATATTTATCCATTTGTAAAATATTTGGAAGGTCTATATGACAAATATATGGACAGGCAAAGGTATATATTAGTCTCTGTCAAGGGACAAAATTCAGAACAATTCTAACAAAAACATCCCCCTTTTCTGGTCTATAAATACTATTTTTCCCTGTGATTTCTCATTCAGCTAAAGCTTTCTATAAGACAAGTAATTCACCTTGCTGTTGTGCACTGAAATTTGTCAATCCTTTGAATATCATGGCTGTCACTACCTTCATTGATGAATACACCTCCCCAGTATCACCATTGAGGATATTTAAGGCCTCCATTGTCGATTCTCATAACTTGATCCCGAAGCTCATGCCACAAGCTATCAAAAGCGTCGAATTTTTACAAGGCAACGGCGGCGCTGGAAGCATTAAACAGATCAACTTTGCTGAAGGTATCAGATCATTAACGTATTTCTCCCTGGTTGCATAGAAGCTACTAGTCTCGTGATAATATTTTTTCTCACCCAATGCGGGCCAATCCTAAGTACCACAGTGTGAAGTTCAGTACAGTTCTTTGATACCATCATACCACTGTTTTGAGTCCCTATTTGACAACCATTTTTTCTAAACTCTTTTTCATATATACTTATTTTTAACCGCACATTCACACAATAAAATATTTTGCACATAAATTCAAAAAATTTCCTACTTTTTAACTACAAATTCTCCAAAAATTCACTATTCAAGGATTTTTTTTTTTTTTTTTATCAAATAATGGCCACCATACAGGGTTTAAGTTTTGTGACAAAATAAATTATTGAAATGAACATAACATCGAGTTTTCTAAGTGCAGGAGGAGCTTTCAAATCCGTGAAATACCACATTGATGAGCTAAATGAAGATACTTACACCTATAGTTACACGTTGATAGAAGGTGATGCCTTGGTTGACAAGCTCAAAAAAATAACTTATGACGTCAAACTCGAGCAGTCTCCAGATGGTGGCTCAATTTCAAAGGTTACAAGCAAGTACTATACTTTGGGAGATTTTGCGCTCAAAGAAGAAGAAATCAAAGTGGGGAAGGAAAAGGTGATGGCAATATACAAGGTCGTTGAAGCATACCTTCTCCAGAACCCCAATGCATATGTTTAACCCGGGTTTCTCAATTTATACTCTATGTGCATGTTTGGTAATTGAATTTGATAGCACTTGATAATATGAAGGATGAAAAATAAGTTAAAAGTTATCCCTAATATTATCCAGTTTTGTTGAGTACTCTGTACTAAACATGCTTTTTGTGTTGTTTGCAATTTTCTGAGTCTTGTAATTCCATGTTTGACAGCACTCGCTATAGTTAATAATCATCATATATAATGGTGAAATTTTATTTGTTGCAGCAATTTCTCATGAATAAAAGAAGAATGTTTTTGGGATACCTTCCACACTAATAATTTCATTGTATGCTCTAGGCTATAGGCTTGATTTTCTTCATTGATTTAAGGGGCATCTTCAAAAGTTGCCAAAAACTATGTGTGCATTTAATTTAAATATAGCAACATTTGAGTTTTTTGCAAAAATGCCATTTTTGTACAAAATACTATACCCTTTCTCATAAATACGCCTATACTGGCCACCGAGCAACCATCTTCTTTAAAATCCCTGTACAAGCAACTAAACTTTCCTCCTCTTTTTAACATCATCTCTATACTTGTAACCAAACCAACCAACCATATTCTTCTTCAACATCATCCCTATATTTGTAGCAAACAGCCACCAACCAACACCAAAACCAGCAAACCACCATGTTACCAGAAGAGGCCCACTATCATCACTGATTGGGGGCAGAAAAGGAAGAGAAGAAAGAAAAAAATAAGTGAAGGAAACGACACCATTTCGAATTAACTGCAAGTCGTGTTTTCACTAGCAATTTCTGTTATCAGTTTCTATTACCACTCATTAAAAGGTGACTAAACATGGAAGAAAGAAGGAAAATTGTCAGTCATTCCTATTCTTTTTTGCAGATTCTGTCCTTCTTCCCCATCTTAATTCTTCTTCAATTTCTTTTAATTTCTGTAATTCTCATGTTATTAATGAGAATTTCAGCTGGGAATTATAAATACAGTTGATTACTCACTTAAATTGTTGTGTTTCAATTCAATTTTGTTTAAAAAATAGCTCAACTATCACATCTGGTATCAGAGCAGCAACGTGAGCTAAAAATGGCAGAGATTAGAGGTAAATCGAATAAGGAACAACTTAAGATATTAGCCAAAGTAGCAGCAGATTTGGGGTGGCATTTAAATTATCAGATCAACGGTTTGCACAAAACAGGAGAGGATCGGGCAATTGATGGAGAAATGAACAGTAAGCCTAATTTGGTAGCAATTTTTCACCTCAAAAAATTGATTTAACCATTATTTCACTATTTCAGCTGTCATTTTTGACTTCTTCACTCATAAGTGAGATCCACTTTTCTCTCTAACGATCAAAAAAATCAATTCTCATAATCACTACCGAATAGGCCCAAAGTAAGAATTCATTATATCCATGATATAATGTTGGCCCAGATGAGTGAGAATAAGGCAAATCAAAATGAGAAAAAAATGGAGTATCCTGAGACTCCATCTTAAACCATTTTCCCAACCCAAATGATCTTACGCCTCTCGTAAGACTTCTGAAAACACTAACAAGGACCAAACCATTATTGACCAAATTCCAAAAAATACAACCAATCCTTTGAAATTTATAACCATTAGTCAGTCACAGACGGTTCCAGACAAAAATTATCCTTAAGACTTTGCTATAAATGTGATGAAAATTACATCCCTGGGCATATTTGCAAGAATAAGTTACTAAACTTCATGCTCATTGATGATGAAGAAAAGCCAGGGAGAAAATCTGGAAAAAGATGGGGAATTAAGTGAAGGGGATGAGGAAAATGAGCTATCAATCAATACTTGTATAAAGTTTGAGTCCTAAAACCATCAGGATTCCAGGTTAGATTAATAAGAGAGGATATCTATATTGATTGATAGTGATAGTACACAGCTTCCTGAATGAGAAACTGATGCAAGAGCTAAGGTATAAGTTACTAACAACCAAACCACCGACAGTGGCCAACGGTGAGAAATTGATGAGCAGCCATATGTAACCAACCACTTATTTGGACTATGCAAGGACTGGAGCCCCAATAACGAGAGTAAATAGACTTGGGGACAGTGATACAATGCTTGGATCGTCTTACTTGATTTCAATAGTGGCAGCATCAAATTTAATTTTGAGGGGGAGGAGATAGAGCTCGAGAGTGAATCCTCCAAGAGAAACTTCAGGATGATAGTTAGTAGTAAAGTCAGCCAGTGGCTTCAAAAGCAGCCATAAAGGTTATAGCTCAGTTGAATTCCGTAGTAGAAGAGATAGAACCTGCACCCAGTGTGGTGTTGGCTTTGACTGAACAACGTCATCTAGTATTTGCTGAGCCTAAAGGGCTACCACCTCCCAAGTTTAATGATCACCAGATAACACTCAAAGAAGGAGCTCAACCCTTCAAAATTAGGCCATAAAGATGTCCCTTTGTACAGAGGACAGAGGTTGAGAAAATGGTCAAAGAAATTCTTAATAATGGTTTATACAACCAAGTAATAGTCACTATGATTTACCAGTATTATTAGTCTAGAAGAAAGATGGCACGCTGAGATTTTGAACGGATTATAGGTGTAGTATTTTTTATATAGCAAGTGTACGATATCGTAATAAGTAATATAGCAAACCTTTAAATTTGGATTATCGTTCTCACGAGAACTATACTTTAATACTTAATATAATATTTTTAACTCCTATTTAATGAAAACAAACAAACAAAAAAGTTGACATTTGTTGTAATTTTTTATCCAACTACTTGAAATAACGGATACACACAGAGATTGATTTGGAATTCAAATATAGAATGAATATTGGGGCATAACAATTTCATCCATTGATCACCTTAAAAGCTTAATTCAAGAATCATAAATCTAGTGTAATTTTCGATCGAATTCTTCTATTGTATTTAATTTACCTCTCTCGAGTTCTCATTGAACTTTTTTAACTAATTTAATCACATATCTCTATGCGAATCAATCTTAGTTAAAAACACTATATGTTCTAAGAATTTATATAAAATCACAATAATTAGCATAGGTATCTCTACCTATTAAGATTTCACCTTATTTTCATAATATTGACATTAAACAATCCACGCAAGAATTTACACACATGAAATCCCCATTTATATCCATATTTCCCTACAATAGTAAAAGCGCCCCCAAACTATTTTAAATTTGGTCGAAGAATGTTTATTACAGTAATTTTTGGGTGTAGCATCTATGTTCTACGATCAACCTATCAAGCATTTGAATCAATTCATTACTTTATAACGCTAAATTTAATTCATGGGTGAAAATAGTATCAAGTTTTAGCCGGATAAGAATTAATTAATCTAAGTATGTAACATATCGACTTTTCATCAATTAACATATAATTCTAGATATATTCGTCGATAAGGCTACCTAACTCACACAAACACATGATTAAAAAAAAAACAATTTTTTATGTATGATAAAGAAATACAAATACATAATCACGCAAGAATAATAAAATTAAAGATTCAATATTTTTCACCCCCAAACTTAAAGTAGAGATTGTCCTCATGTTAAAGTAAATACAAATAAGAGCTAGGACTTCCCTGAATACATCAATTGTTGTATCGCCATCACCCTAGTGAGGTGGATATGAGTTAACTTTCTAACCACATTGTTGTCCACAAATTTGCGAATCTTCCTACAAACAACATATCGAGAACGTTACGATAATAAAATAAATAATCTTAAAACTAAAAACTAAGCAGTATGAAAGGGATAGAATTTGTGTTGTCTCCCAAGAAGCTTTTTTTTAAATCATTAGCTTCACTTTTTACCTTGATTGATTGCTCGAACCAAGTTATTTCATCCTTGGATTTTATGCAATTTTCACTAATACATTCTTTCTTTGCTCTCCAAATTTTGATATTTCCATTCTCATCTCTACCAAGAAGTTCATTAAAATTTAATTTTCTTTTTTGACTGCTTCGTTGATCAAGTGGCTCTTCTTCATCAATTTTATAGCAAACTTTGACGTTGGGAGGTTGCTCATACTTTGAGTAAATATTGAACATCTCTTGCTTGTCATCCACCCTTAATATTAGCTCACTCTTCTCCATGTTAATAAAGCTTCGACCTGTTACTAAGAATGACCGACTCAATATAACTGAAATGTATTGATCTTCTAATATGTCCAACACGATAAAGTCTGTTTTCTACACGTATTGATAAAACATCTCTAAACTTGGTCCTCTCTCTTATCGAAAATTATTTCCATGTGTTGAAATTGCGGAAACCATTTTGAATAAACTTTACTTATTCCTCTGAAGAAGCAAATATCAAGAAATTTTCTGTAGTATGATTTCTCCCACAAATCTCATATGCTAAACTGACCATCACTGCATTTGCTTCATGTGTTTGTAATTTTACAAGTAACTATACCTACTTTGTTAAAGCAACAATCTATGCATTAGTAGATGTTGTGTTGTCTAGTTCATAAAATCCAGTTGTCTTCTTTGGTACCGCTATCTCTGACGAGAACAATGATTGTGTAGTCACAATTAACTCGAACAAGTATAGGCATTGTTGAACTGATTTACGACTGATCCACCATCAAACGAATCCACATGAGATTTTGATAGTGGTGAAAGTTCGATGTAGAAGTATTGCACTTGATTATCTATGGTAATTCCATGATGTGGACACTTTCTTATTAGCTCTTTGAATCCGTTCCATGCTTTACGATAGCTCTCCTCATCTCTTTCTTGGAATGCTTGAATTTTCAAAAAGATGTTTGCTTCTTGTGTAGGTGAGAAAAATTTGTTGCAAAATCTTTTAATCAGTTCCTCCCATATAATAATACTTCCATGAGGTTCGGCATCTAAACACTCCAAAGCCGCATCACTCAATGTATAAGGATATAAATGAAGATTGATTGCATCTTCATTAACTCCTAGGCATGAAAAGTCTGACAATTTTTTAGGAATATGGAGATATATGTGTTCGGGTTTTCATGAGTTAACCCGTAGAATTGGAGAGTGTCGCTAGTCAAGTTGATCCAATATACCCATATTTGAAAGTTATTTACCCCAAAATCTAAATATACAATACTAGAGCATGTGAAAACTGCCATAGGCATTAAGAACATTGAGACTAGCAAGTTTCCTTCATTTATCTCCACTTGTTCGTTCTGTTAATTTTGCACTACCGTTATCCTAGAGCTACTTGTCTCATTGGTTGTATCAAAATGTTTTACTCTTCAGCCAGCTCATGTTTCTGTTTTTGTTGGTGTTCTTTAAGCTTGCTTTTGAAGGTACGTTCTATTTTCGGATCAAATGGTTCTAAATCGTCCTCTTAGAAATGGAGCATACAACAAACACATTTTATCTGCAAATATAAAAACAATAAACTAATTAAATAACAGTTAAAATAAATTGGGACTAAATGTGAATAGTCCCCATCAACGACTATACTTTAATACTTAATATAATATTTCTAACTCCTATATGATGAAAACGAACAAAAAAGTTGAGATTTTTTGTGATTTTTTATCTTAACGATGTGAAAATAGCGAATGCACACAAAGATCAATTTAGAATTCAAATTGAAATGGATATTAGGGCATATCAATTTCATCCATTGATCACCTTTAACCCTTAATTCAAAATTCATAAATATAATGTAGTGTTCAATCAAATCCTATTATTGTATTCAATTTACCCCTCTCAAGTTCTCATTAAACCTATTTAACTAATTCAATCACATATCTCAATGTAAATCAATCCTATTTGAACCCACTATACGTTCTAAGAAATCATATAAAACCGCAATAATTAGCATAGGGCCATAGGCATCTCTACACATACTAAATTGTCGAATTTTAATATGTGGTTTAAATCTAAAACTACCTCTCATTTTGTAAAAGATTCACAAAGTCATTGAATTATTAATCAGATAATTCAAAGCATTAAATACATGAATAAAATCAACACATAAACTTTAAAGAACTAGAATCTTGAATAAAAGAAAAAAAGGGTCTCAAATATATTACATTTTTTGTCATAATACATGGTTTAGCTACTCATAATAACAGAAGAAAAATAAAAAATTGTATTGAGTACATCACCGGGTTTTGAATTGAGATGTAAAGAAATGAATGAATCTTGAACCAAGTTCTTCTTCTTGTTCCAAATATCGATTCCAAACCCTTGATATTATGTTTTTCTCCTTTGATTTTGCTTTCTAATTCTTCAAGCTATGTTTATGTCTCTCAATGCGTAAAACCCAACAGAAGTTTCTCCATTATTGTACTTATACTTCTCGCCATGTTTTTGTCGAATTTAGAGCTTTTATGGGCTTAACAACGGGCCAAAAAATGCACCCTAGATGCATCAGGCGCTGCCTACTCGGCAACATGGTGTCACAAAGACATTGTAGCGCCAGCTCTCGAGAAAAATTAAGTACTACACCTTCTTTAGTATTTTTATTATAATGTTTTGTATCAATATCCGATTGATGGAATTTTTATTAGCTTGTAAAGATAACACAAAGGACTACAATTTCACTAAAAATAACTCTTTTCGAATTTGAAAGTTAGACCAAAAATAGGTTACAATCTCTGGCTCAAAATTTGAAATAATCTTGTGCAGCTGAAATTTGATTTATGAAAATATTTTACTGTTTTTTGACTTTTAATTGCATCCAATTGACCTCTAGAATTCTTAAATCTTCATCGTAGGTTTGACACAACTTGAGTATTTATACTTTAGTCATCAAACTTTGATTTTGCTCTTTTTCACCAACTTTTGCTTCTTTCTTTCAATTACACTTCCATTTATCGAGTTTCACCTAACAAACAAAATATGGAATAAATTATGATATAATTGTTCAAAAGAACTATTAAATATCTATAATTTTAGATCCCAAATAAGCGTATAAAATATACTTCTCAAAAGGTAGCTTAACAACTGCACAATCAAAAGATAAGTATCCCATGCCATTAATTGAAAAATTACATGGCTCCAGATGGTTATCTGACATAGACCTCAAGACAAAGGATACTATCAGATCAGAGTGACTGAATTAGACATCCATAAGACTACCTTTAAAACTCATCAAGGTATCTATGGGCTCAAGGTGAGGCCCTTTGGACTCATCAATGTCCCCGCCACATTTCAATGTTTGATGATGAAGTATTTAAGGATCATTTGAGGAATTTAATACTAGTGTTCTTTGATGATATCTTATTATATAGCCCTTATTTGGAATCTTATTGCAAGCACTTGGAGATAGTTCTGAAAATTTTAAAAGAACATCAACTATATGCTAAGTAGAGTACATGTTCTTTTGGTCAGCCTAAGGTAGAGTACTGGGGTATATCATCAATGCAAATGGAGTAGTAGTAGACCCAAAAAAAAGTAGAGGCAATGAAGCAATGGCCAAGACCTAATCATGTGAAGCAACTTAGAGGATTTCTTGGACTAAGTGGATATTATATAAAGTTTGTAAGGGGATATGGGGTTGTGGCCAAGCCATTTACCGAAATATTGAAGAATGAGAGTTTTGTTTGGAGTGAAGCAGCTGAGATGGCATTTCAGAAACTTAAGACATCAATGAGTACTGACATTACCAGATTTTTATCTTCCATTCACCATTGAAAAAGATGCCAACTATGGAGGAATTGGAGTAATACTGATGCAAAATAGAATACTGCTTATTTGAGCAAGGTCATTGGCAATAGGAGTTTGGGTATGTCTATATATGAAAAGGAGCTCACAGCTTTGTTAACTACTGTTGTTAAATGGAAACTTTACTTGGAGGGACGCCACTTCATCACTAAGACTGACCACCAATCACTTAAGTATCTACTTGAACAAAGAATGACAACTTTCACAAAAGTGGTTAACCAAATTATTGGGGTTGAGCTGTGAAATGTAGCATAAGAAAAGGGTGGACATTGTAGTGGCAGATGCTTTATTCAGAAGGGAGGAAACATCAGTTGGATGTGTTGCTATCTCCACTATAGTACAACTATGGATTCAGGAAATGATAAGCAGTTATGAGGGAGATACAGAGGTTGAAAAGATAATTTAAGCACTATTGACTGATCCTACTAGAGAACTTGACTTTCAATATTTAAATGGGCTAGTGACTTACAAAAAGAGATTGTATATTTGGGACAAGTGGAGACATCATAAAATGATTAATCACAACTATTCACTCATCAAGAGAAGAGAGTCACAGGTGTTCAAGCAAGCATCCATAGGGCCAAACTATACTTCTTTTGGCCAGAAATGGTGAAGGATATTAAACAGGATGTCTTACAATGTGTTACATGCCAGAGGTGTAAAGTAAGACATGTACTTTACCCTGGGTTTCAACCTTTGCCTGAACCTCAGTGTTCATGAGTCACATCCCCATGGATTTTGTGGAAGGATGCCCAAAATTTAGAACAACGAATGGCAGTATAATAGTCATTGACAGATTTACCAAGTATAAGCACTTCATCTCGTCAAGTCACCCTTTTTTCTGCTATTACTATGGCTATGATATATAAACTTCATGGGATGCCTAAAAGTATAATAACCAATAGTGATAAAGTCTTTATTAGTAGGTTCTGGACGGAATTATTCGAACTAATAGGCACCAAACTTCAGTTGAGCACTGCATACCCCCTCGATCAAATAGACAGACAGAGAGGCTTAATCAATACTTCGACATATATTGAAATATATCTTAGGTGTATGGTATATAACAACTGAGGCAATTAAATGGGTTAGATTGGCAGAATGGTATTACAATACCACTCTTCATACAAAAATCAAGATGACTAATTTTGAGGCCTTATATGGAATAAAACCACTACAACTAGCCTTGGGTCCATACCAACAAACTAATATTGCTGCTCTGGAAGAATTGTTACAAGAAAGGCATAAAATGGGCCATCTCCCCATGAGGGTTTGGCACAAGTTAGAGCAAAAATGAAGCATTATGCAGATCAAAAAAGGAGCGAAGAAGGTTTTAGATAAGAGATTGGGTCTACCTGAAACTTCATCCATATGCTCTGCAAATACTTGATCAAGAGGGAGTGGAGCTAAAATCCACCCTGTATTTGACACACCTCTGCTGAAGAAGAAATGCCTATGAGCAACTTGCCAGAATTTAATCAAGAGGGAGTCTAGCTAAAATTACCATGGAAACTTTAGCTAACACGATTGGTGAAATGGATAACAAAGATAAGTTTCCTCCAGTTTGAACCTCATGGACAAGGGTGAGGAATGTTATGAAAAGAGGCCCGCTATCACCACTGATTGGGGACAGAAAATGAACAAATGCAGGAAGAAGATGAGTGAAGAAAATGACACCGTTTCGAATTAACTGAAATTCCCAATTTCACCAGTAATTGCTGTTACCTTTACTCATTAATGCCTTGTTTGTTAACTATTGTACCACATTATTTTTTTTATAATACTCATTTCCAACCACACATTCGTATTCGAATAATATTACCCATAATCAAAAAAAAATTCTTCTTTTTTAACCACATATTTTAACATCAATCATTAGTCCATAATACACTTTTTAAAATTAAAGTGCCACAAACAGGCCCTAAAAGGGAACTGAACACGGAAGAAATGAAGGAAAAATGTCATTCTCATTCCTATTCTTCTCTACAAATTTTGTCCTTGTTCCCCATCTTATTCTTCCTCAATTTCTCTTAATTTCTGTAATCCTTATGTTATTAATGCGAATTTCTTCTGGTATTATAAAGAAGAATTAGTTGAGATAGGCAGATAGCCATTCCTAAGGTATCTTTTTGTTGGAAAGCTCACCAATTTTTTAGAATAAAAGAAATTTTAATTATTTAAACCATATTAAAAGTCCAATTTGGTTTTCCCTTGTATGACTAGATGAAAGAATGATTTCGACTTTTCCCTTCATTTACTCACGTAAACCCTTCTTTCCCCAAATTCATAATTGCAAAATCAAATCTTCTTCTCCTTCAAATTCACAAACACTTCTCATTCAAGTCAAAAACAATATTTTCTCCTTCTTTTAAGACCGAAGATTGTGCAGAGTTTTGAAATGAACAATTTTGTCTACCAATGGTTAAGGTTCGAAATCTAACTTCTGCATTTCCAAAAAAGGGACGAGTTCACAGCTAGAAAAATCAATGTAAGTTTTCAAACTAGCAAGGAGTTCTCTGTATAGTGTTAAAATTTGTGTCCAATTTCATCTTTGCATATTCTTCTTCTCGATGAATTTACCTATTGAGTTTTTAAGTTTATTGATCTAGACTTTATGAAATTCTATTCAAGATTATGTTTTTTGCTATAAAGATCATTTTTATAGCTTTTATTTAAGTTGTCTTTGAAAATTTGAATTGGAAATTATTGTGTATGTAGCTCATTTAAAATAGAATACAGGTTTCTTGAATCAAATAGGCCGATACCCGAGGGGAGTGACGACATTGGCCTTATGTGGTTTAATTCACTGTCTGGTTGCTAGAAACACTAAATGGGTTGGGGGTGCGAAAACAATGCCTTTGTGATATGGTACAGGGGGATTTTCTTGTACCGGCATTAAAGTCTTGAATGGGGTTGGGCTAAGGTTAGTATCAATAATATGTTATAACCTTAGCCCATATTGTGTATGTAGCTCATATAAAATAGAATACAGGTTTCTTGAATCAAATAGGCCGATACCCGAGGGGAGTGACGACATTAGCCTTATGTGGGTTTAATTCACTGTTTGGTTGCTAGAGACATTAAATGGGTTGGGGGTGCAAAAACAATGCCTTTATGGTGTGGTACAGGGGGACTTTCTTATACCGACATTAAAGTCTTGAATGGGGTTGGGCTAAGGTTAGTATCAATAATATGTTATAACCCTATTTTTCATACTAAATAAAATTATCTCCGCTTCGGTCTCATGGACGTAGGCACATCGCCGAACCACGTAAATACTTGTGTTGATTTTTCTCTTTTATCTTTTTATTATTGCGTATATAATCCAACAACTGGTATCAAAACAAAGTTCAGATGGCGAGTTCATCGATTGCAAAATTCAATGTGATGAAATTTGATGGATCTAGAAATTTTGGATCATGACAGTGAAGGGTGAAGAATTTGTTGGCGCAGCAAGGGATGGTGAAGGCACTATCTGGGAAAAAGCTAAAGGGTACGTCAGATGCCGATTGAGAAGAGCTCGAGGCACGAGCAGTTGGTAAAATTCGGCTTTGTTTGGCGGACGAGATCATATATCACATCATGGATGTTGAGTCCTCGACCGAGGTTTGGGAGAAATTGGAGAGTCATTATATGTTGAAGTCTCTCACGAACAAGCTGCATCTAAAGCAACGGTTTACAGGCTCAACATGTTGGAGGGTATGGATCTGATTCAACACACCAATATGTTCAGTCAAATTATCAGCGATTTATTGAGATTTGAAATCAAGTTTGATGATGAAGACAAGGCAATGAGATTGTTATGCTCTCTTCCTCCTTCGTACGACCATCTGGTGACCACGTTAACGTGGGGTAAAGAGACTCTCAAATTGGAAGAAGCACATTAGCCATGTTGACCTACAACTAGTGGAAACAGCGTACTGTTTCGTTCACAAGGAGAATGGCTAATGGTAAAGGAGCTACTAGGATCATGGGAGAAGCAAGGACAGGGGTGGTCCTTACAAAGGGAACACGAGATAAAAATCTATGAATCAAAATAGGAAAGACATCAAGTGCTACAAATGCCATTAGATAGGTCATTTTAAGAAAGACTGTTAGAATAAGAAGCAGGGTGATGAAAGGAAATGTGATGGGTCCTCAAACTCAACTAGTGTTGTAGAAGGAGACTCGAATTATGGAGATGGAGACATGCTATCAGCTCTGTAGGTAGTTCTGAAAAATTACATGACTGTTGGGTACTTGATTCGGCCTGTTCATATCACATGTGTCCTCATCGGGATTGGTTTGATTTTTATTGTTCGAATAATTTTGGATCTGTTCTAATGGATAATGATACATCGTGTGAGGTCATTGGAATGAGGTCCATAAATTTTAAAATGTTCGATGGTGCGATAAGGACGTTGGAGGATGTTAGGCATGTACCAGATTCGAGAAAGAACCTAATTTCTTTAAGCACTTTAGCCACAAATGGTTATTCTTATAAGTCAGAGTGTGGGGCCTGACAGTTGAAAGGGGCTATGATTGTGATTAAGGGTCAGAAATTAGCAGATAATATCTACAAACTATTCGGGAACACAGTTGTAGATAAAGTTGCTACAGGAGAATCTAAGTCAGATAACACTCTTTTATGACATATGTGACTGTGCCATATAAGAGAACGTTGCATGGTTGAGTTTCACAAGAGAAATTTGTTGAAGGGGTAAAACCATGTAAGCTAGATTTCTGCAAGTTCTGTGTACTTGGAAAACAGTCCAAAGTACAGTTCAAGATGGGAAAGCACAAGACAAAGGGCATTCTAGATTACGTGTACTCTAATGTTTGGGGACCAGTAAGGGAATTGTCCAAAGGTGGATCTCTGTATTTCATTATTTTCATCGATAACTTCTCTAGAAAAGTTTGGATATATTTTATGAAGCACAAGTTTAGAGCCTTTGCCAAGTTCAGATTGTGGAAAGCAGAAGTAGAGAACTAGATAGGTAGAATACACAAATTCACAGTTTCTGAAATTTTGTGAGGAGCATGTTATTCAACGGCACGATACAGTTCCCAAAACATCGAAGCAAAATGGTGCAGCGGAGATGATGAACAAAATAATTGCTGAACGGGCAAGATGTTTGAGGCTAAATATATGGCTTTCGAAGAGTTTTTGGGCAAAAGCAGTGAAAATGGTATGTTATGTCATAAACAAATCACCCCAAGCAACACTAGATAGGAAAGTTGTAGAGGAAGTTTGGACAGATAATGAAGTTGATTATTCTGAATTGGGAGTATTCAGGTGTTCGGCTTATGTGCATATATTTAGTGATTAGAGATCCAAATTTGATCCAAAATCAAGAAAATGCATTTTTCTAGGCTATGTGAAAGGTGTAAAAGGTTACAAGTTCTGGGAACCAAAGGCAAGGAAGATGGTGATAAGTAGGGATGTAATCTTTGATGAAACATTTATGCTTAAAGCTTCTCCAGATGAAGAGAAGCTTAGTTCAGACGAGGAGAGTAGCAAGAGCCCAAGTGGTGCAGGTAGAACTAGACAATGTTGACATGGAGATTAAAGCTCAGGTAGCAGATAGTTCTAGGTTAGAGGTAGAGCACTATCATAGTATTGCCATAGATAGACCACATCGTACTATTAGGCCACCATTGAAGTATAAATTCAAGGATTCGATTTCTTATGCACTCATTACCAGCAATAGCGATCCTATAACTTTTCAAGATGCCATTGGTAGTCAGGAGAAAGGTAAATGGATAGAGGATATGATGAAGGAGATTGAGTCACTGCATAAAAATGATACTTGGGATTTGGTGGAACTTCCAGATGGGGAAGAAATCGATAGGATGTAAGTGGGTGTACAGAAAAAAAGAAGCAATGTTAGAAAAAAAGGAGAAAAGATACAATGCTCGATTAATAGCAAAGGAATACTCACAGAGGAAGAAAGTAGATTATGGTGGAATTTTCTCTCCGATCGTCAGACAGACTTCCATCAGGATTGTTTTAGTAATGGTGGTAGTTTTGATTTGGAGTTAGAGCAGCTGGATGTGAAGACCGATTTTCTTCATTGTGATTTGGAGGATCGGAATTCCATAGAACAGCTAGAGGGATTCTTGGAACCTGAAAACAAAGAATCTTGTGTGTAAACTGAAGAATTCTTTATACATGCTTAAGCAGCCTCTATGATAATGGTTCAAGAAGTTCGACTCTCATATGATTCAGATTGGCCACAGTCGTTGTGAGTATGATTGTTGTGTTTACTATAGAGTTCTTGAGAATGATTCACATATTTTCTTGATGTTGTATGTGGACAATATGCTAATTGCTACTAAGTACATGAATGATGTAGACATATTGAAATCTTTATTGAGCAGTAAGTTTGATATAAAAGACTTAGAACCGGGTAAGAAAATTCTTAGCATGGAGATCAACGAAAATAGGAAGGCCAAAAAGTTATGGGTATCTCAGAAAAATTATTTGAAGAAAATGTTGGAGAGGTTTAGCATGTCCGATGCAAAACCAATTCATATACCATTGGCAAATTACTTCAGATTGTCTAGTAATCAGTGCCAAAAGAATGAAGAAGAAATTGCAGAGATGCCAAATGTTCCTTATGTCAGCGCAATTGGATCTTTGATGTATGCAATGTTATGTACCAAACCAGATCTAGCACATGCAGTTAGTGTAGTTAGCAAGTATATGGCTAATCTCGGTAGAGAGCATTGAAGAG